ATATATATATATAATCCCTCTCTATCTATATTAGTGCTCTCGACTGTCATTTGCACTCTTATGCCCACACCCTTGTAAATTTGTTAGAGGTTGTAGAGATGCGTCCATTATTTCTCTTTTCTTATCATATTTCTTTGATTTCTTTTGCAGTGCGGCATACATGGCTGTATTCAATCGCCTTTAAAATCTCTAGCAAAGCTCAGAACTTGCGTGGGCTGAGATGGGGCGACCTCTGCTTTAAGTCGTACGATATAGGTAAACCAGTTTAAGTATACTTGCAAGGGCTGGGTAGGTATTAGTTTGTGCCATAGTAAATTCCCGATTTTGCTCTCTAGTACGCTTTGCGGCAGTCCGCTCGAGTTTATTATTTAGGGTTTTGGGGTTAGGTATATACTCGATTAAGCTTGTGATGGTGTTTGTTACGACTACAGAGTTTCGACTGCCAGCTGTTGTGGTATTGTCGTTCCGTCTGTGTGCTTGCTGATGTGCATTGGGTTTTAGGGTTTACTTAGCCTACCCTTAAGGTCTGAGCTTGTGCTGTGCCATTGCCATTTCTGCTACACTTATTCTCTTTCTACCATGGGAGTACACCGCTGCTAGCTCAACTATGTTTAGAGCCAATTCTCTTACATTGATATCACATACTACGTTCAGAGCCAATTCTCGTACATTGATACTCGGCTATCTGACATGCTACGTTTACTAGTACGCCGTGATTAAACAGTCTGCTATCATACTCGCTGATCCTATCCTCCGACCACACGGAGTGCTGCAGGATTGCTATCACCCAGACAACTACCATCACCACCACAACCGACTGCCAGAATACGATACGATTGCTATCCCAATGTGACTGGCGCTCTAATGCCTATGCACCCCTCCACTTGCTCTACCCATATATATTCACATACAGGTACCGCCAGTCGACAGCAAAATCTGGATTGCCTAGGAGTCTTGTACAACCAGGGCGAGCTGAATACGGTATCGGTCCTGAGGAATACGTATCGATTAAAAAAACCCAACAAGCCCTAAACCCTAAACCCTACAGTACACCCTAATTTGGATCCGATGTCGAGTCCCCATTCTATTTTTTAACCCTATGTTAACCCCCGAACCTATATTTTCCACCCAACCCCCCCCCATATATCTCCTAACACCACAGGATGGCAAACAAGAATACGCGGGATGTTTCAGAGACCAGAACGTACTCATATGCTCGTGGGCAGCTCTGTCGCTAGTTTTCTTCCAGCGATTTGTGATGGAGAGCCCGTAAGTAATTTCGTGTACAGATGGTCGCAATCCGCACTACACAATTATATACATATACTTTATTATATTATTGTATTGTTATATTATATTATTGTATTGTATTATTATATTGTTATATCATTAAATATTTCTCTATATTATTGCATACTATGGTATATATATATATATATATGGGTGGGAGTTTATGTGTATGGAAGTATGGCGTATATGTTGATTTAGACTGTATAACGGACGACTCATTTCTTGGAAGCAGTTTCACACAGTAACGACATTACCACTTACATACACATATGTGCCGGTTCTAATCTGTTAGAGAGAGGGTGGATGCCTTTTTAAGTACACCAACATAAATACTAATTGTTTTGTGAGAGTGATAGAGTGGATCTGACAGACCAGTCGTGGCTGGATGTGCTGTCAGTGTGTGATAACACCATAGACTACGCGTGCCTTACAATGGCTATAACACGTCTTACCATACACACACATACACGGACACGCACGTGTGTACATACGCATGATAATATATATGTATATACAGTTTTGATATTCAATAATATCTAAGACATACATAATATATAATCTGGTTCTGATTGGCTCAGGGACGGCGTGGACCTGACCGACAAGTCCTGGCTAGATGAGCTGCTTGTGCCCAGTAACACACAGGATGATGTGGTCGACTACCACAACGCTATCACCTGTGAGGAACACGGCAGGATAATCAGGGAGAACGCAAAGGGCATCGGCGACACTATCCCGTCGGATTATGAGAATATTGACTACATGTACAGGTGTGTACAGTACAGCTGTAGTTTAACTACTGATTGTATGAACTGGGGCTTTTGGGTAGTGATGATACTCATGGGTGCGTATTGCTATAGTGTTGGTGCACGTATAGATGTACTCTCTAAATTGGCTATACGTTCTTGCACACCCTTTATTAATCAACACAAATCCTCGTCACTGTCCCATGCTACACAAACAGAGACGCTGTAGTGCCTACGGCCGGCGACTGGGAGAAGGATGTGCTGCGAGAGCATTACGTAGCACTCCCCACCGATGCGATGTCCAACTGTGCCGGGTGGCCAGAAGGGCATCTGTATGAGATTTTCTTACCGAGATACGACCGTAGTAAGGTATGAGTGGTCTAAGGACGTGGGCCGTGTGGGATCGGTGGCTTGCACAGAGAAAATTATGTGGGTTATATATAGCATGCGTGAACATATCCTATCTGGATACGATCGCACAACGTAGAGGCTATATATATATATATAAGCGATGTGTGTCAAGTACACGAATTGCACAAATATAGTGTTACATATACACTGGAGTTTCATCTGGTTTGCATAGGCTTCACATAGCTTGCATGTAATAGATCGTAGTAACGTGTAGGCCGTAGACATAAGTGTTGTGTGGGTGTATGTTGGTCATGAGGATGCGCAGATACAGTAGACGAACACAATGCACCTATGAAACCTTAGAACCCTAAACCCCTATTGTTTAGAACCCAGAACCCCTAAACCCCTGTATGTCTTAGAACCCTACACCTCCTATATGTCTTAAACCCTAAACTCGTATATGTCTTAAAACCCTACACTTCCTATATATCTTAAATTCCACACCTCCTATATGTCTTAAATTCCACACCTCCTATATGTCATAAACTATAAACCCCTATGTCTCATAACCCTAAACCTCTATATGTCTGCCTTCTCAACATCGCTGCATCGTACTCATCTGCTCTGCAGGTGGACATGCCTGTGACACTACGCATCAAGTTCCACGACATGTTCTCCTTTGCGGACACATACATCGCACTGCAAGAGTGTGAGGCGCGTGTGGATGTGAAGACGCTGAGCTTCGCTCGTTTGTGCCAACGTATGCGCGAGACGCTGCCTGAAGACGCGCCGGCTCTGTGGAAGGCCTATCCCAGTATGTGTGTGTCTATTGTGCAGATTTTGATGTCGACATCAATACATTATATATGTATATGTATTATTTATATATATATATATATGTGTGTGTGTGTG